ATAGTACAACTAATAGGTAAAAAAGGTGAAGAAATTATTATATTATAGAAGATTTTACTTCAAATATAATAGCATGTTATTTTAAAAAATAAAAAATAATCCAAAAGAAAATAAAATTAAAGGTGTAAATAATATTTTTTTTCAAAGTAAGCTTCTATTTACTTTGTAAGGCCATAAATAAGGCAAAATAAGGTAGATTAGAAAAATAAAAGATATGCACATGTACAAGAAAAAGTTAGGAGTTGATTTGAACAAAAATTAACTCAAAAAAGAAAAATTTGATATCCAAAGAGGACTAGTTATCAATCTAGGTGAAATTCAAATCTTAAGGCACAAAACCAAGTACTTATGATAACTCCAAGGTTTTCTACAAATCAAAAAGTAAAGTTTGATAGCTGACTTAATAGGGTTTCTTTGGGCATTGATTTTAATTGATTTAAGTATGTAATGACTTTGTAAAAGCTTTGCAAAACTACAATTGTTTTAGGTGACTTTGGAATTTGTAAAATAAAAAGAATATTATGTTTTGGAGAATTTTTTGAGTTTGATAATAGATCTATAGTTCAAATTTCAAGGACTTACAAGAATAATTTTTTGCAATATATGATATAAGTTTGAACTTGATCAAATGGTTGAATTGAAGGTTATTGAATTTCAAGTAGGTTGAGGTCTCAAAAATTAGACTTTAAGTAATAATTAGGATTTTTAAGATCTTTAGCAATCTACTAGTTGGACTACAGTGAAATTTATATATGAAGATAAATGACTTGATTTTTTGCACATACATGAATTTTAAAAATAATTGAATAGCTTGAGGAGATATTGGTACTAAAAGACTAGCATCAAGGTTGAAGAAGAAAGCCAATCAACACCCAAGTCAATTTTTGATATTTTCCTTTTAATTAATAAGTTCAATTCTCTTAAAATTTTGTATGCTTTTCAATAAACTAATTATTGAAAAGTATGTAAAATTTTAAGTAAGTTCAATGATTTAATCAATAGATATTGAAGTTCTAAATTTTGCTTAGATTCAGTTGAATTGGTTAGATTTTGATTAAAATTTGGTTTAGGATTAAGATAGGATTAGGATTTAGAATTTGATTAAGATTTAGAGTTGAATTAGGATTTAGGATTTGCTTAAGATTTAGTATTTAGGATTTTCTTAGGATTTAAGATTTAGTTTAAGATTTAGTTTAAGATTTAGGATTTAGGATTTGCTTAGGATTTAGGATTTAAGATTTGGCCTTGAATTTGATTGAACAGAATTAGGATTTTAAATAAAATTAAATTAGGACTTGATTGAGATTTTTTTAAGATATATTTTAATTATTCTAATATTTCTTTAGAATTTTTTAAAGATTCTTTTAAGATTTGATATAGATTTCTATTGAATTCCTTTAAGATTTCTTATTATTTCTTTTCTAATTTCTTTAAGGTTTTTTTTTGAATTATATTAAAATTTATTTAGTATTCTATTAGAATTAGAATTTTATTGTTGCAATTTCCATTCTATCTTTCACATTCAGATATATGGTGCATTCTTTAGGAAGACTTTATGTAACATAACAATGGACATATATATTCACTCTAATATTTATCTATATGATTAAATAGAAGTAGATATAAGTAAATTTATTTCATAATATTTTCTAGAAATATTTTCTAAAAGCTTCTTAGACGTTGTTTAGACTTTACATGTATTTGTAATTGATTGGTAGATTAGAAACTTCGTCAACAAGTTCATCATGTATTGGTAGCTTATGGAATAAGCTAACTATGTGGTACATATATAGAAAACTTATCTTGTAACTTAAGATACATGTCTTACAAAGTCAACATGTTTTAGAAATCTCATAGGATACCACCATATAGCTTCTAATTAAGGATATGTATGGAGATAAGAGTGAAGCCTTCTTCACTCTTTTCAACATTTTTTTAGTCTTTAGTCTTATTTCAAGACTTTTTAGTCTTCTTATCTTTGACAATAGTTATTTTAGTTTAATAGTTTACCATCTTTAAGATTTTTTAGTCTTTTTGAATGACATAAGAGTGTATTGAGGTTTTCTTTCTTTGAGACTTATCTCCTTGATAAGTACTTCAAAAGTACTTATCATTTCAAATTGTGTCTTAGAGGTGATAACATTATTTTGCATAGTATTTGTCATAGGGATTGCATTAGAGATACAAATAATAGAATATGAACAATGGAATATATATTTTTTATTAAAATGAGAGCTATTTTATAGAATTGCAAGAGACAACCAACAATTACAAGATCGATAATGAAGGTGGAGTATATGATAGCAAATCATGGTACAATAGAGGCAATATGGCTAAACCAACTTTTGGATGACATTGAAATAGTACAAATAGAAGCAATTCCAATAGAGCGTGTCAATCAAAGATTTCTTGCATTTACAAAGAATCCAACGCATCATTCAAGAAGCAAGCACATTGATGTTTAATATTACTTCATAATAGAGAAGATTGAAATGGGAGTGATTAATATAAGATATTTTGCAATGGAAGACATGCTTGTTGATTTGTTGATAAAAGCATTAATAAAAAAAATATATCACATATTAGCAAAAATATTAGAATTAAAAGACTTTGACCAAAAATAAAGTAAAAGTATTAAAATAAATAAATAAAAATAAAAAATAAAAAATAAATTATTTTATAAATAATATTATCTTAAATAAATTGCTATTGGTCAAAGGATTAGTTCTTGATATGTAAGAAGGTTAAGAGATAAGATAGATAAACAAACAAAAGATCTTAAAGATATAAAGGATAAGTTAAAGGTATATCTTTATAGTAGATAAGATATCAATGGAGAGTCTTGATAGAATATTAGATAGATGTATTCATTAAAGGATAGAAGTTGTCTATTAGGGCAACAACCACCACCTATAAGTAATGGATAATGGAAGTAAGAATTGTCTTACTTTATACTCTCTTTGTGTGCAACATTGTCGATGCTATGTGTTGTAACTTCAAAGTTCTTTTTCTTCAATAGAAATAAGACTAAAGACATCTTCAATCCTATCAATGAATTCCTATTACATAAATTTTGGTTTTGAATTTTTAAATCTCTTTCAAATTTAAAATATTTATTTTAATTTTATATATATTTATTTTAATTACTTATATTTTAATTATATAATCAATGTATAATTTAAATATAAATATGCATATATTATTTTATTAATAAATAAGATATATTTTATTAATATTAGATTTAATATTATATTTAATATAAAATTTTAATTTTTTTTTTAAATAAATAAAAACTTATAAAAAAAATTATTGTTGCAAAGTTAAATTTTATCAAATTTAAAAACATGCAAGCAATAAATCAATAATTATAATCAAAATCTTTAGCTTGTCTTTGTAATATCTTATAAAGTAGCTTCGTAGAAGCTTCATAGATGCAACTTTGACTATGAATGTGTTTATAGTTGATTGGTGGTTTAGAAACTTGATCAACAAGTTAGCCACATGTTACACATGTTGATAGTTTGTGGAACAAGCTAACTATGTGGTGCATACATAGAAAACTTTTTTTTGTAAATTAGACACATGTCATGCAAGTTGGACACATATTAGAGGTCCTATAAAGTGTCACTATGTAGCTCCTATTCAAATAATATATATAAAAGTAAGAACGAGGCATTCTTCACTCTCATTAATTCCTTTCTTACTTCTAATCTAGTTTCAAGGATTTTTAGTTTTCTTATTTTTTGGCAATAGCAATTATTATTTTTTCTTAAATATATTTATATTTTCCTATTTCTATTTTGTCATCTTTTTCATATATATATTTCACTGGTTTATATATCTACTTTAAATTCTTATTTTTAGATTTATATTTAATAGATATAAATCTAAGCAATTTTTAATATCTATTAAATATATTAAAATATCTATTAAATATATTAAAATATCTATTAAATATAAATCTATTTAATATAATATCTATTTAATATCTATTAAATATTTATTTAATAGATATTATATTTAGATATTAAATAAAAATCTATATTTATTTAATACTTTATTTATAAATATTTATAATACTTTATTTATATTTAATAGATATTACATTTAGATATTAAATAACTTTAAATATCTATTTAATATAATATCTATTAAAAAATTATTTAATAGATATTACATTTAGTTTTGTGAATAATCTAAGAAATTTTTAAAATAATTAAGACCAGTTAAATTATTTGTTGGTTTTGAGAGATTATCCTAGAGCATTAGAATAAAATTAAAAGAACTTATGAAGGTATTAATATAAAGAATATTTTTAAATGCAATATGAAAATCAAAGTTTTTAAAATATATCAATTTTTAATAAAATTAAATGATCAATTATTACATATTTAGATATAATAGTATATCATTAGATGAAATTTAAAATTTAAAATAAAATAAATCAAAATATCATTATTAAATAAAGTAATATTAATCATCTGTAAGATGTTATTAGAACAATATATACGTATATAAATTGAATAAATTTGACATAAATTAAGTACTTCGATTAATTCTTAAATTAACATGCTCCCATTTCTTTTATTATTTAACCAACTTTTTCCTGTTTTCACCAGCATTTGCATGTGAGCAAGTAGTGCTGTACTTATGACTGTCAGTATTTCACTACAATTTTACCCACATCAAATTTGATTATTATTCCTGGAGGGGGTAGGGAGACAAGAGAAAGTGGATATTGTTCAATGAAAAGAGTTACTGAATTCCACGGCCCTTTTATGACTATTTTCTACACTTTTATGTCAAATTTTGTCCAGTGCGTTTTCATGATTAGCACATTAATTGATCTGACCTGATCCTAAAGTAACATCCCCCTCTGCTTAACATTTGTGTTACTCATTGAAGAGTAATTAACTTTCTTGTCACATTTTATCATTAACCTAAATTTTACCATATTACACCCTCTATTTTGGTGTAAACGCTATACGATGGAGGCAGGCTATTTTGAAAACCAGGTTCCCAGAGAAGAAATGGATTCTGTCCACAATAACTGCGTCTTCAGGTGTCCTCAGACGTGTCAATGAAGAAACTCTGGTAAATAATCTTTCTTAGATTCTGTAGTTACTGTTCAAAGATGTTAGTCATGATAGTGTCATGACTCCAGTAGCACATCCACACTGGATATTTCGCAAGACTTCGAACCAAACTATAGGACATTCGGAGAGTCAACCAAACTATGGGCATTCAGATTACCATACATACCAATGCATCTCTGCAGAACACGAGAAACTTGTCCATCTATCACATTCGGCCGCTTCCCCAAGACGCGACCACCCCCCACCATGCTGACGTTCCTAAAACATAAGTTCCGGAAGTCACGACCACATTCATTGACCAACAAACAGTCACGTTCACCCATCAGTCACTTAGGAAGCAAGAGATCGACCATTCCCCCCACGTGGTGGTGTTCATAAACACCAGTAAAATAATCGTCTAATAGTCGCACATCTCACTTCTTGACCTTCTTCGCCGGCCGACCTACCGGTTTCGCTGCCTTAACCTTCACACCCGCGCCCACGCTCTTCACTGATTTCGGGGCTTTCTTCGGTGTAGTCATCTTGCGAACTGTAGGTGGCTTCCTCCCTGTCACAGGCTTCTTCGCAACTGCAACCGTAGCCGACTTCTTCGCGTGAACTGCCGCCTTCTTAGTAGCTCCCGCTGCCTTTTTGGCAGACACGGCTGTCTTAGCTACGGCCTTCTTCGATGCCGCCGTCCCCACCTTACTGCCAGGCTTCGGCTTTGCAACCTTTGTCACCTTGGATTCAGACTTAGTCTCCTTCGCCCCTTTAGTACTTGGTGCTTTCGATTTCGCAACACCTTCACCAGCGCTCTTCGTCTTCACGCGACGACCAGCAGGGATCTTGACGGTCTTAGCTTTCGGCGCAACCTTCACCAGTGACTTCGGAGCGCTGGTGGCCTTCGCTACCTTCGCAGGCTTCTTCAACTCGTCCGACAGTTTGAACGAGTTCTTCACCTTAACCAGCTTCCCACCCTTCGTAAGATTACGCAACTGAATGGTCAACATCTTCTTGAAGTTAGGGGCCAGGCCTGTCTTGTACTTGTCCTCCAAGTACTTCGCAATGGCATATTGACTAGACCCGGTCCGCTCCTTCAACGCGCCAATGGCTTCCACCACCATCTGAGATCATCCATGCCACCTCAACCATAAGTCCGGGAACCACACTCGCACTGCACTTCCTGAATTACATGATCCCGATATCGACGAGACAGAAACTACGTACTGAAGAGAATGAGATATACCCGAACCGAAAACAAACGTTGACGGAATATCATAGTTTGAGTCCGTTCAGCTAGACACCGCTGAGGTGCTCACGCAAGTTCCGGAACAAACATCCAGCGACTACGACCACCCAACGAAAACAAAACATCAAAAATCAAAAACCAAGGTTTAAGTTTCGCCGAGTAACCCACAATATGTCAATGAGAACACGTTTCTTTAAACCAATTAAGACTGGTCAAGCTTACCAGCATGTAGGTCGGATGGGACGCAGGAGGCTTGGGGGCCTTCGGAGCTTTCGCTTTAGTAGCCTTAGGCTCCTTCACCGTCACTTCCTTCACTTTCTTTTCTTTAGTAACCTTCATCTTCTTCCCCTTCTCTGACTTTGCAGCCTTCTCCACCACAGGGGCCTCTTCTACCACCTCAGAAGCAGTGGCAGGGACAACTGCTGGGATAGACTCGACGACGTCAGCCATGGAAATGCCCTCAACAACACCTCTCTCTGAATCACTAGCCAAACAACAGCCCGAGCACTCAAAAAGTTTCAAATTCCAATTACATAAACAACCGAATCCGGCTCACATTCACATAATAACGAGTACTACCACAACGCACACGGAAGTATCGCAGTTCAGTAGCAAAGCCCCCGACGAGAGCCAGCAACGCTGAGCGCGCAGTCGATTAACGCGGGGCAACAAACGAGGGCGGAAGCGTAGAAAACGAGGACGCGAGAGAGTGAGAGAGAGTGCACAAGGGACGGAAAGGTTGGGGAATGCAAAGCTCTCATGTTGCGGGCGAGTCTGCACACTTTCCCGCCCGCGCCACCCCTCGTTTGAATTGCCCGGGAACATTTGAGTTCAACTCCCCCCCCCCCCCGCCCCTCCCGCCCTTCGCCCCCCGATCGCGGGTCTGGACGTGGTTCACATGATCTGAGAACGTGGGATTCGGTCTTTCCCCATCGGTGGTGGACTCATGGGCACGATGGCGATCAAGATGCGAACCAGGGTGTGAGGGAATTCATGCATTGACCGGGAATCGTTCTGCTCACAAGTTGCAATTGTGTGTGGAAACGTACTCTATTCTTAGATTGTACATAAATCTCTTCATTTTCAGTCAAAATAAAATACATTTCGGGTCTAAATACAGAGTTAGAAGCTATTAAAACACTCTCTTTCACTTTATTTTTAAATATATATAGTATATTTTTTCTATGAAATATTTATTTAGATTTTATAAGTTTTATTTTAGTATCTGTATTCTTCTCAAGATTTAATTGTATGAATTGTTGACGTGAGAATATATATTTATGTTTTTAGTATTGAAAGTTATACGTATAAGTTATCATACTTTAAAATTATAGATATATATATATATATATATATGCATGGTATTACACACATATTATCAAGCACATATTGTCAAGGACAAAGACTCGATGAGGGAAAATATACAAAAAGGCTATCTCGATATAATAAGTCAAAATAAAAACAAGTAGGTATATTAAAAGGAAACTAGAATGGCTATTGCCACAAGACAAGAAACTATAGACTCTTGAACCTGGACTAGAAGCAAGAAAGGAGTTGACAAGAGTGAAGAAGCCTTCACTCTTGTCTCTATATATACTATCTAATTAGGGGCTACGTGGCGACGTTCTATAGGACCTCCAATATGTGTTGACTTTGTAGGACACATGTCTTGACTTACAAGGCAAGTTTTTCTACGTGTGGGCCACATAGTTAGCTTGATCTTCAAGCTAACAACATGTGTGGTACATGGCCAGCTTGTTGACCACGTTTCTAATCCAAAAAGTCAATTAAAGACACCTATGAAGTCAAAGCAGCGTCTAGGAAGTTTCTAAGAAGCTTCTATATTAAATATTATAGAATTAACTTACTTTTATCTACTTTTACTTACTTCTACCTATTTCTATATGTAATTATTAGCTTACATGATTATGGCCGTGACATTACCCCCCCTTCTAGAGACGAGTTCCACGAGGAGCAGTCATCATATGTTGAGAAAATCTATGATGCGACGAATTGTATTCGCCACATACTCTGATCTTTGTTCTCTTCGAAGATGATTGATAGGGCCTCTCAACCATCGGTAGTGTCCCATACCAGGGCGGGAAGACCACCCACTTATTTGATCATTGTTGAGGCCTTCGTAACTTCCTTCGAATAGAATATTTGGAACACCATCAGGCATTGTTCCTACCTCTAGCAAAATCACCAAACATCAGGAGTCCCTTCCCAAATCGTGATACCAAACGCATTGTATCTCACCATCTATTCGAGGAAGAACATGTCGTTCTTGAAGATGTTCATCTCGATTGCGCCGTCTTGAAGGTTGTGACAATCGTAATGTCTCGTCCGGTAAGTCAGCAAACGAAGGTTCTTGAGTTGAATCCGCTGGTTGTTGGCTCTCCATCTAATTAGCGTCACAAATGTAAAGAAGTTACAAACAAGGATATGAAATTGAATGTTATCTTGCTTCAATCTTGTCTCTTTTATAAGAGAGATTTTCATCTTGGTTTCGATGGATGTCGTTGATGAAAAACTTTGACTTTAGTTGATGCATTTGCTAGATTCCTAGATGGCTCCCATGTGCGTTCACTAATATCATATCCGCGCCAATAAACAAGATATTCCAGCTTATTTCGACGTCGCCTTGAGTCTAATATCTCTTCCACCTCAAATTCTTCATTATTATCTATTTCTATAGGAGGCGGTGGCATTTGTTTTCTTCCTTGTACATCCACTGTCTTATATGGTTCAAGAAGAGACACGTAGAATACAGGATGGATCTTCATTGACTCCGGTAGATGTAACCGATATGCAACTGGGTTGATCTGTTCAGAAACAGAAAAGGGGCCAAGCCTACGATAGTCCAACTTGTCACAAGGTCGAGTAGTCTTGATATTGCGACGAAGTAGCCATACCTTATCACCCACATTGAGTTGTGGTTGCTCATTACGATATAGATCTGCGTTTATCTTTTGTCGTTCTTGAGCTTCCTTCAATTGCGTCTTCATTATTGCATGTAACTCTGACAACAGATTTGCCATATCTTCAGCTGCAGGATTATCAACTTTTGAAAAATCAAAAGTATCAAGTCGTGGATGATAGCCATAATTAGCAAAGAAAGGTGTTTGTTGCGTGGAAGAATGTACCGTATTATTATAAGCAAACTCTGCCAATGGCAGAAGGGTTGTCCAATCATCTTGTTGGTAGTTGATAATACACCTTAAATATTGCTCCAAGACTTGGTTTACGCGCTCTGTTTGTCCATCAGTTTGAGGATGGAAAGCCGAAGATAGCTTTATGTCCACTTTTAAAATCTTGAAAAGGGTCCTCCAAAATCTTGACACAAATTGAGTTCCCCTATCCGATATGATATCTTTAAGTAATCCATGATAGCGATAGATATTATCAATAAAAAGCTTAGCTGTTTCTTCACCTGTGATAGATTTTGTACATGGCACAAAATGTGCCATCTTGGTGAAACGATCTACTATCACAAATATAGAATCATAAGATCTTGAGCTTCGAAGATCTGTGATGAAATCCATAGAAACAGAAGACCATGGTTGTTCTGGTATAGGTAATGGCTGAAGAAGTCCGTAATGTCGATGACGAGGAATTTTTGATCTTGAACAAATATCACATGATTGTACAAAGTCTTTGACTGACTTCCACATTTGTGGCCACCAAAAATCTCTTGATATGAGTTCCAAAGTCTTATTATATCCAAAGTGCCCTGTTGCTGGAAAGTCATGACGTGCTTGAAGAACACATAAACGTGCTTCTCCTTCTGGAACATATAGGCGTCCTTCAAAATATAATAGATTATTCTTGAACTCGAACTTAGAAGGATCATGAGACTTGGAAGAATTATTCTCGATATCATAAACAAGAGGGTCTGAGGACATACTGGACTGGATTTGCTTGAGAAAAGTTGAATCAACAGTCAATGTTGATTTCATTGCTCGGAGATGAAATTGCTCCGGTTTCAAGAGGACCGTTCTTTGTTGCTCAAAAGCTGCATCTCTTTCTTTTGGTGTAAAATAAGAACGTCTAGATAGGGCATCGGATAAACCTTATTATTTTCCTGGCCGATAAGTGATAATGAACTCAAATCTTGACAAAGACATACTCCAACGAGCTTGACGACGATTCAACGCGCGTGCTGACATGAAATACTCGAGGTTCTTGTGATCTGTATACACAGTGACTGGATTAGAAGCGCCTTCTAGATAATGATGCCATTCTTGAAAGGAATCCATGATCGCAAGAAGTTCTTTATCGTGGATCTCATAATTGATCTCTACTGTTGAGAATTTTCTTGAATGAAAAGCTATCGGATGAAGTTTGTCATCTGTTCCCATTTGTGATAAAACTGCACCCAAGGCAAAATCTGATGCATCTGTTTCCATAAAAAATGCCTTGAAAAAGTCAACACGATATAAGACTGGTGTAGAGACAAACGATGTCTTCAAGGCTTCAAATGCTGCTTCCGCTTCTTGATTCTATTGAAATTTATCTTTACTAGTCAAGCGTGTAAGTGGAGTTTCAACTCGTGAGAAATCTTTGATCAAGATCCGATAGTAATTGGCAAATCCCAAGAAACATTGGACATCTCTTACCGTCCTTGGAATCTTCCAATCCATGATTGTTTGGACTTTCTTAGAATCCATCATGAGACCATCATTTGAAATGATGTATCCTAAAAAGTCAACTTGAGTAGTGTGAAATACACACTTTTCCATCTTGGCGTACAATCCTGCATCTCTAAGTTTTTGTAATACTTGACGAACATGTATTTCATGTTCTTTGACGTTCTTAGAATAGATTACGATATCGTCTAGATAGCAGACGATAAAATTGTCTAAGAATTCACGAAATACATCATTCATGAGATGTTGAAAAGCAGCTGGTGCATTCGTGAGTCCAAAGGGCATGACATTATATTCGAAATGTCCATACCTGGTTCGAAACGCAGTCTTCCATTCATCTCCTTCTTTGATCCATACTAGATTATATGCTCCTCTTAGATCTATTTTTGTATAGATCTTAGCTTGATTCAACTGGTCAAGGAGTCCTGATATCAAAGGTAATGGATACCTGTTCTTGATTGTGATCTTGTTGAGTCCTCGATAATCAACACACATTCGTAAAGATCCATCTTTTTTCTTTACGAATAGAATTGGAGCTCCTACTAGAGATTTTGAATGGCGTATGAAATTCTTCGCTAAATTCTCGTCAATATATGTCTTGAGTTCAGCCATCTCATCTTGCGATAAACTGTAAATTGGTCCAAATGGTGGCTGAGTTCCTTCCTTGAGGTCGATTGAACAATCATATGGACGATGCTCAAGAAGAATATCTGCATTTTTTTTCTCAAAAACGTCTTGATACTCCTGATATTGACTTGGAATGCCACTTGAAGTGTTTACGTTTTCAGAAATAGGTGCAGCATAAATAGCAAAAGTTGATCCTTCTTTTGTTGCGTGTATAAATGCTTTTGCACCTATCAGTGCGGGTTTTACTATACTAGACTTATAATTTTTTACTTGGTTAGTAGAACTATTAATAACGCTTTGGGAAAAGTCAAGGTTACGCGAATTCCAATCTATTCGAGCGTTATATTTTTTTAGCCAGGATAAACCTAAAATAACTGGATTGGACGGGGATTTATTTATGTTAAAAGCTATGTAGCTATCATGACCGTCTATTGTTACTTTTATAGGATGAGTTTCATGAGTGACATCTCCAGAAGACAAGGGACAACCATCTATGACTTCTACATGTACTGGTT